TGCAAGGTGATGTCACAGAAGAGTATTGCAGCTTCCCAAAACAGGATTGGTGGGGTAGGGGCAGGACCATGAGGTTGACACCTGGTAGAGAGAGATACTTCTTGTGGTGGACATTCTTAACCTTTTTTTTTCTTGGTGTGTGTGTGCATCTTGGGTCTTTTTGGTAATCTGGTGAAGTCTATTTACTCCTTAGAATAATTAAAAAAAACCCCAACAACTCATAAATGAAGGAAATCCTAAATTTCAATGACAGGTTAGTGAAAATAAGCATGAAATTTATTTTTCCATCCAAGTTCAAAGACCCTCTGAAACATATCCAAGGATTCCTTGGAGGGATCCTCAACAGGGTAGATCCACTATCCTTTATGGATCCATGACCCCTATGTTAAGAATCTTATAATCTTATTTGTCACTACCTTTCTGTCTGCCATACTCCAACCACAGCAAATTGAGAGATAAGAGCTGAAGTCTCTGCACGTGTATAATGAATACACATTTGATGTTTGTGTATGTGTACATATGTATATATGCATATATATATACATGTATGCACATATGTATACACAGATACATACATATTCATACACACACAAAATCTAAACACCAGCAATGCCCATGAATAAAACATGTTTGAGTTTCACACTTTTATTTGACATTTCAGAGCAGAGACCAAGTTTAACCACTGCTCCTTTGCTTACATCTGTACTCTGCTGGCTGTCTTATCTCACTGGTATCAATACATGCTGCCTAAGCACACACCATAACTCCTTCCTATATCCTAATCCTATGTGATTCTTGTGCTTATCTTTATACAAGTCCTTCCTAGATGATCCACCTAACTGGACACCTTCCTCCAGGGATTTCACTATTTCATGGGTAAGACTACTTGGAGGCCTTATTGTGGCATGAAGGTGACCTTGGGTTCTTGATGAAGAAGTCTATATATGTATATATATATATATTTTTTCTACCACAGGTATAACTAGAATCCTCATTCTTGAGTTATTAATAGTTCTTCCTTGCTATAGATGGTTGCTAAAACACCCAAACACACAAAAAACATAATTATACATGGAATCTCAAATACAGAAATAACATAAGCTACAACACTAGCTAGAATTATATAGCACTTTAAGGTTTGCAAAGAGCTTTACATATGTTATATCATTTGAACCTTCAAAAAACCCAGTAAGGTAAGTGCTATAATTATCCCTATTTTTGGTAGATGAGAAAACTGACACTAGGAGAGCTTAAGAGATTTGCCCAGGGTTACACAGCTAGTATAGTTATTCCTTCCACATCATGGTGGGGAGTTTTGGGGGGTGTGGTTCCCCTGCAATCTGGAAAATCCAGATAAAATTTTTTGGCCCTCCCTTCATACCAGAGAAGAAGTCTGATTTTTTTTTCTTTCTCTTTTATGGGGTATTTACAGTAACTTACTGTAAAATTTGGGTTAAGCATTTGGTTGTAGGTTCTGTGTCATCTGCTGGCCTTTGTATGTCATCTGTGGCTTCTGCAAAACTCCCCCCAAATTCTTATGCCAACCTCCAATATATTGAAACTGCAATGGGGAAGGTCGCAATGTGCGAGGGATAACTTTGGTAGGATTTGAATTCAGATCTTACTGACTTCAGGTCCAGTGCTCTATCTACTTTGGCTCTCACTTTCCACTCTATCTTAAACACACACACACACACACACACACACACACACACACACACACATACACACATACACATGCACACAGAGGTTTTCAATGGCTGCTGGGTGATAACGATATTGACAATTGCTATAAAAATAGTCTTATTAGTTAGAAAGAAAAATCAAAATGCCATGTTTGGAGAATAGTACCTTGAATCTTGCAAAAAATGCCTTGAACTATGAGAACTTATATTTTGTTTCAAGGCTTCCAGAGTTCTGGTTAATGTACTTTTGGATATTTGCTGATGGTTTGCTAGCTTGTTGTGCTCCAGGGTATTTTCATTTCATTTAATACTCTATGATCTCAGACAGCTATCTGACTTATAGTTAGAAAATTTCTTGTAACTCATATTTTACCCCCTTTGGGAAATCCAGTCTCCCAAACAAACAAAAAAAAATACTAGAAGCTGTGTAGAGGCAAGCCTCCTTCATTCTTAGGAGCCTTTCTGGTTGGCATGCAGTTTATATTGAGCAAGAATAACCAAGAAGCAAAGAAGGCAAAGTCATGACCTTCTACTTTTTGGAACACATATCTGCCTTTAGTAATGAATTGCTAATTAATTTATGAAATTATGAAATGGAGCAGGCACATCCAATTCTCTGGATGTTCACTGGAAAAGACAAACAGAGAGGGAGATTGCAATCATACTTTAATAAGGCAGAGGGTGCAAAGGCAAATGGTACAGAAAGGACAGAGACAAGTGGTGAAAGGGGGTACAGAGGCAGAGGTGTGGGGAATGGGGAGCAAGGTGGTGAAGGAAAGCAGGCAGTGATGGGGAAGAGGATAGAGATGGGGAGAGGTACAGAGAATCACCCACAGATCTGTGGATTAGAGCTGGGAGCCATTAAATTTGGGGTTTACTGGCTAGATTTCTTTCTCAAAGACCATGCCTTAAACCCAATTTACCCTGGATTTCATTGATTGAACAATAGGTACCTGCCCTAGTATACTTAATTTTTGGGCTCTCCTGGCTCAGAGTGAATGTAAATAATAACTGTTTCTCTTTTGTCCAGCAACCCTGAGGGTCTTCCCCTCTCAGTTTGATTTTTTTTCTTTTTGATTAAAGGTGCCATCCCTTGACTCACTTCTTAAAAGGCCCATTCACTGAATGGGTGTTGCCTTGCTCAAAGTGAGAACTTAAAAAGACCTTAGCTTAAAAAGGCCAAGGGCCAAGGTCTCCTACTATATCCTGGGCCATCTTCAGTCATCCTGATTTATATCTGGTCACTGGTCCAGAGAGTTCTATAGGAGAAAGTGAGGCTGGTGACTTTGCACAGCCCTCCTTCCCTCAAACCCAATTCAATTTGCAAGTCATGCCATCATCTCCTTGATGTTATAGTCCTCTTCAAGAAGGACAAAACCCCAAGCTGGGAGCACTAGGGCCCAATAGAAATGGAAAAGGATTCAGGGGCAGGTATTTGGTATCTCGTTCTTATAGGGTTTTGGGGGAACAGGCTAACTCTTATCTATGCTACATAGTTCATTACCATATGCGGATCATCTCAAAGTTGTCAGTAAAACTTTAAAGTTGACATATTCACGTCATCAGAGTTATCAGTAACATTTGATGTTCCATTGCTCTTACTGGGGATGTCTGGAACTTATCGAAGGTTTACATAATAAAGGATCGAAAGGTTCTGACAGCAAAACTTGATGAATTCCTCTGATACAGCATATATTACTAGGATGTGATTCTTGGTTAATATATGATAGAATTTGTAAATTGCGTTCCTTTGGTCTCTGGCATATTTTGTATGTGACTTCTAGGTTTCGCTTTGCAATCTTACTTCCTCCCATTGCTACTTTATACTGGCTACATATAAACTTACTACAGTTTTCCCTCCACATTGAGGGAGTTAAGAGCACAGCCCATGATCTAGAAAATCCAAGGAAAATTTTTTGGCCCTCCCTTCATACCAGAGAAGAAGTCTGATTTTTTTCCTTTTCTTTATGGGGTGTTTACAGTACCTCGTTGTAAAATTTGGGTTGATATTACATAATACCATACGTATGTTTACGCATTTCTGAACTTCTAAAATTTTTCTGTTTCATCTGCAGCTTCCCCAAAACTCCCCCCCTCCAATTCCCATTTAATTTTTATATTGATCCACAATATATTGAAACTGTGATGGGGAAAGTCCCTCTGACTAAAAGGGAGGTGGTGGTTAGGGGTGATCACAACAAGATGCAATTTCAGTACAACTAATATAGGCACACACTTTACAGGTATGCATACAGAAAACATTCAGATGTGTATACACATACATGCAAATATGTGAACAATAAAGATCTTGCCTTTTGTGCTGAATTCTGACCAGCACAACCAAATTGTCTCCTCATAAAGGTTATCGCAAATATAGTTTCAGAATTTAAAATGGCACTCACTAATGTTTTTGGTATACCCTGTAATTCCAGACTTTTCTAGGTGCATTTTTTATTTTTTGGGGGGTGTATATTTTAAGAAGAACTCAGATAAGGTGGAGAATATCCAAAGGAGGTCAGTCAAGATGATGAAAGGCCTCATTCATGCTACATAAAGAATTGTCAAAGGAACTTGGGATGTTTGGCTTAAAGAGAAGACTTCAAGAAAGGGGAACTTCAGTAGGAAAATATTTCTGCAGGCCAATATGATGGGTGGAAATTCATAGGTATGGTTATTGTATTACATAATGGTGTTTTAATTCGTGTTACAGATTGTGGCCTGCATCCTAAAATTCCCCATCTAGCATATGTTAGCATGGAGTAAACATGGATGAAAACTATTCTATCTGATTTTGCCTTATATGTCTTATATGAATTTTGGGCACAGCTGAGATTGCCTCTAGACTTCTATTTCCAAAGGAACATGCCTGGAGGTGGGGGACTCCTGGCAATTGAACATGCAACCTCTCACCTGCCCCCACCTTCATCCCCTGGGACACTCAGGCCTAACTCTCATTAGCTTTCCCCCCAGGCCACAAATCCTAAGGGAGTTTCTGCCTCCTTGGATCAATTTATCTGACAAAAATGCTGAGCAATTTAGCCTGTGTGTGCAGGAATTAATACCCAGCATGTCAACTGTTATTAAAAATGACCTAATTACCTTATTATGTAATGACCTCCTCCCCTTCTACTTCTCCCCCTACAAAAACATTTAATGTTTCAAACATGTCAGGTAAAGAATTATTTTGCTCAATATTTAATTCTGACTGTGAAAATCATAAAACAAAAATTACTCTGGAAAAAGCCTGGAGTCATATTTTACCAATGTCTCATAATAAAGTAGCTTTAATTAATTGCTCATTCAATTAACAATTAATTACACACAAGAGAAACAAATATTTTATTTGGGACAAGCACCAAAATTTATCACTCAGTATGATTTTTTCCCCCCCTTATCCAGAGTTCAGTCCTTATGAGAAAGTCTGAAAGGAGCAATGTTTCCCTCTGGAGATACATAGTCTCTGGGAATCAGAATGACCTGAAGGCGGTTAGGTGCAAGAGTTCTCTGGATTACCCCAAAGACAGCAATTAAGGTGAATGTCACTGTGGAGTCAAATTCGTATCAAATAAAGAAATGCCCTTAGCCTGTGGACTCTGCTCTTAGACTTGGTTTTTTATCAGTCTGGACCTGGTGGAGGAGGGGGAGGCTTCTGGGATGGAAGAAAGGCACAGTGCCAGGAAATGGAGAAATAGCAGGTCTTCTGCTCCATTGCCTTTGCATCATCTTTGTGAAGAAAACAATTTGGAGACAGATAAACTTCGGAAAGTTGAGAGATGATCCTTTTGTCACTGTTTCAATTTAGAGGACACATTGTAGAAGAAGGAACACTAGATTTGGAATCAAAGGACCAGAGTTTAAATCCCAGCTCTGCCACTGCATGGCCTCAGGCAAGTCCCTTAACCTTTAGGTGCTGGAATCTGCTCCTTCATGTGGGGTAGGGGTTGGAATAGATGACTTGGAAGGTCTCTTCCACACCTAAAATTCGAATTCAAATCAGTTGGGTTCAAGAACCATTTATTGTCTTCTAGGGACAGCTAGGGGACCGGGAAAACGAAGACAAAAGGGGAAGTGCCATTAAAGAGCTAACATTCTACTGGGAGAAAATGATACAAACAGATAATCACGTCATCATCATCATAGCTAACATTTATATAGCACTTGCTATGTGATAGGCACTGTGCTAAAGCCTTTACAAATATTATCTCATTTGCTCTTCATAGCAACCCTGGGAGGTAGATGTTATTATTAATCCCTATTTTTCAGATGAAGAAATTGAGGTAAAAAAGAGGTTAAATGATTTACCCAGGGTCACACAGCTATTAAGTATCTAAGGCTGGATTTTAACTCCAGTCTTCCCAACTGTAAGCATGATACTTTCTCCTTGCTGCTCATGATACACACAAAAAAGATATGTACATATACTCACACATGTATGCACCTGCACATAGGTATAACTTGTTATATATGTGTCAACTGTAGGCCAGGGAGCTCCTCCCATCCATAAAAAGCTGCAGTTCTGGACTTGCAGGGCTTCTGTTCAGTTTCCTCATAAGTTCTGCCTTGTTGTGTTCCCAGTTGGGAGACCCAGGAAAAAGGTCTTAAATAAGCTGAGGTATGGATTAAAAAGTAATAGGTAGCAGGTATGAAATAACTATTTTATTTCACATTCCACAAAAAATGCTTGAAAGACAAAATACTCCTAGGCATACATAATAGATACTTACAACATGAATTATCCTTAGAATGAGTTATCCTTAGAATATGATCCTATCACTGCTATTATGAAAGTCACAGGATTTGAGTGTTGGAAGGGCCTTCAGTAGCCATCTAGTTTAATCCATATGCAAACAGAAGCCCCACTATAACCTTTGTAACAATTATCTTCTCCCCTCCTTACTTACATAAATCCTCCCCACTTAAGAACATTTCTTTACTTGTAGATGGCCCATCCTCCCTCCCATGTAAGCTCCCAACTTTGATATTATCCTTATTCATCATATGTATCCAATGTATTGCCAAATCTTACCATTTTTACCTTCACAACATATCTTGTATATAACCTGTTCTCTCTACTAACACAATACCACCCCCAGTTTAAAGTTCTCATCCTCTCTTTTCTAAATTAGTTCAATACAGTTGCTCTGCCAGCTTCAAGTCTCTTTCTATTGCAATCCATCCTTCACATAGCTGCCAAGGTTATTTTTCCTAAAGACTAAGTCTGTCCCTGATATTCCCCTACTCAGCAAACTGCCTGGGTACTTTGTCCCCCACTTACCAAAGTTAATGATTCTTTATTACTTCCAGGATCAAATATAAAATCCGCTGTTTGGCTTTTAAATTCCTTCACAAACTGGCCCCTTTACCTTTCTAGTTTCTTACACTTTCCTCTCCTCCACATATCTATCCTACAATTGAATAACACTGGCTACCTTGTGCTCCTTGAACATGACACTCCATCACCTGATTCTTCACCTGTATCTGACGCTCCCTCTGCCTGCAGTACTCTCCTCACTTCCATCTTCTGGCTTCCTGACTTCTTTCAAGATTCAAGCTAAAATTTCACCTTCTTCAGAAGGCTTTTCTGGTCCTCAGCACTGTTAATGTCTTGCATCTGAGATCATCTGCTGTCTACCCTGGATGTGTCTTGTACCAACTTAATTATTTACATGTGATTTTCCCCACCGGAATTCTTTTAATTTGTATTCCTTTTCCTGAGTACAGGTTATCACACAGCATAAATCTCTCAGTAGTCTTTCTTGCCCATTCTCAGTTATGTTAGAGTAAACAAATGTCTTTTTTTGGGTGGAATTATAAAGTAGTAGATGAGCAGAATGCTATGGTTATATTTTACTTAGATTTCAGCTGAGCTGTCAATACAGTATCTCATGAATTTCTTGCGAAGAAGATGGAAAGATGAGGGGTATGGGATAATATAGTTGGATGACAAAAGCTGGAGACTTGAGGTCCCATCTCAGGCTCACCTATGCAGTAAGCATTTGTACTTGCATCCATATGTACATGCTGCCAGAGAGGTGGAGGTGAAAGAAATCCCTTTCCCTCCTCCCTAGAAGTTAAAGGGAGAGATTGTATTGATTATGTCACAACAAAAAGACCTGAAAAGAGATTAGAAACCATCAGTCCTCACTACTTAATCAATAAGTGCTTCTTCCTGGTTCAGTTGCTGCAACAATTCCCACCTTCTTCCCACTCTCCTAGGAACCAAGAGGCCAATCAGAAGCTACTGGTTCTACACATTCGTTAGCATGGGAGCAGAGTATATGAGACCCACTAAAAGGCCAGGGTGCAGGCCTATCTCTATACATTCTGCATGGGATAGCCTCTTTTTCATATCTATATCTATCATTTATATCTCTGTCCTTATCTATATCTACTTATCTAAATATCAGTGTATCTCTCTCTCTCTATCTTTATGCCCATCTTTACCTCTATCTCTATTTCTAGCTCTCTTTCTATATTTTGACCACACCAGTGATTTCATTGGTAGCAGGAAGTCCTTCTCCCAGCGCAAATATAAAATTCTTGTACAACTAATAGGTTTATGAATTGCCTGGGGCAGTAAGAGGTTAAGGAACATACTAGGCTTCCTTAGTCATTACATAGCAAAGGCTAGTCTTAAACTCATCTTCCTGACTCAAGGTCCAACTTTTTTTTTATCTAATAAACCGCTCTACTTCCAATATAAAATATATATAAATTTAATACAAATTATTATATTTTTTGTGGGGGAATGGAGGGAAAAAAGCACCAGCAAATGAAGAGGCCAGGAAAAGTTTTGTACAGGAAATGGGATCTGAGCTTCACTTCATAGGAAGTTGTGGATTCTACATGATGGGGATAAGGAGGGAAAACATTTCAGGTATGAGGCACAGCTTATGCAAAAGCCGAGGGGTAGGAGATAGAATGTTATGGGTGGAGAACAGTAAGTAATTTGGCTGGAATGTAGAAAGTGTGAAGAGGAGTCATGTGAAATCAGCCTGGAATGATTGGTTGGGAGCCATGCTGTATGGAGCTGAGGTTTCCTGAGCAGAGTCAGACCTACCCTTTAGAAGTCTCACTGACCCTAGGCCGGAAGTTTAGATTTCATGAAGATCTCATGTTAAGATCTCATGAAGAGCCTCTATTGCAAAATGGAGGATTTCTAGGCATGATAGCAGTAGTGAGCTGCCGGGGAACCATGAGCAGTGAGAGTTTCCCTCCTATCACGTGTTCCCCTAAAACATCATTCTCCATTCTCAGATTTACATGGTCCATGGTCTTCATCAGATATCCTATTTCATCTTGTGGCCCTTGGGCAATTGTGGCCTTTGTCAAAGGTGGACTGGCAAATATTCTTTGAAAAAAAAAATGCGTGGCACACTTTTAAGATTAATTTGCATTAATTAACATTTTCTCATTGTTTTCCTAAGTCTAGATAATTAACAAAACAGTAAACCAAGCCCTGATTTATAATATTTACTAAATTCTCAGGCATTTACTGAATTCTAGTTGAGGCACATTCCACTGAATATGGATCCTTTACTGGGTATTGTTCAAATGTCAAAGCAAATTACTTTGATTTCTCCTAAAGGAAGTTCTTGATTCCATAGTAAATTCTGAGGATTAGTTCACTGATAAGGGAGGACCATATTGGAAATCCCTCTCCAAATCAATGATGCTTAGTCCTGGGAAAATGATTATCTGTTCTTACTGGACAATTTGCTCAGGCCCAGACCAGTGGAGGCAAAGGTAGTGCTCATAAACCTGTATTGAAATAGCAATGGTAATATTAACTGTAGGATGTAATCTCCTTGTTAGCAACAACTGGTTTTGTTTTTCTTTTATCTCCAATGACTAACACATAGTAGGCACTTAAATGAGCTTTCTGAGTTGAATTGAATTAAGGACTATTTTCTTTCCACATTGTTTTAATTCCTTGGTTAGAGACTCTTTACCGCATCTCACTAGTGGTACTTGTCAGAGTAGATTTGCTCTTTATTTTCATTTCATTCTCCAATGGAGACATGTACAACCTGGACAGCCTCTCTATTAGGCTATTAGACATTCTCAAATCACAGAGAATAGTAGGTTCATGGACAGGTTCTTCCTAGATGGTAACCATTATACTTCCTTTCTTGCCCCTACTGTATCCTTCCTCACTTTCACTTATCCTTCAAGTTTTCTCTTTATCCTTAACCTTATCCCCCCTGACCTTTGAACTAGGACACTCTTAATACTCAAGTAATATGTGGCTTTAGATCAACCTTGGAATTCCCACTTACAATATACTCCAACCCACCAAATGGCCTCACAGAGATTTTGGATTTAGGTATTCTTCAGACCAAGCCAATCCTGAACCCATAAATTATAAACTAGATATAAACCTATAACCTGGATTAGGTTCTAGTATGAATCAATCACTCAAATGTTTTTAGGCACAAGACACATTCCTATGGGCCAGGAATTGCACTAGGTGATGGCCATGCAAAAACAGAAACAAAGCATTCTCTGTCTTCAGGGAGCTTACTTACTAACAAGATAGAGACCAGAAGGGACCTTGGAAATCATCCAATTCAAGCCCTTCCCTCTATCAATGAGGAAACTGAGCCCTAGAGAGGTTAAGTAACTTGTCTTAGGTCATAAATGTATAATTAATAATGGCTAACATTTAAATATCACTTTAAAAGTTTGTATAAAATAAACATTTTATTTAATTCTTTCCATGTAGTAAATAGCAGAATCAGGATTGAAAGCCAGATTCTCTAACTCTCAAAACTCTGTCTAAAACCCCTCATGCTGTGGTTAGTAAATTGAAGGTGGGCTAAGGGCAAAGATATCCAGACCATTTATGCTTGAACTCATTACTACCTTCTTAGGCTGTAACTCCCTGGATAACAACAATATAAGTACAGGATGATTCTTCCAGACCATTGAGTTAAGTGATTGATGTCAGTCTTTCCCAGGAGTCTTTAAAGTGTGAAGTCAGACAATCTGATTGGATAATCTCATTCTTTTCCTCTTTGGTCCATGATCTTCATCGGATATCCCATTTCACCTTGTGACCCTTGGGTAATTGTGGCCTTTGTCAAAGGTGGGCTGGCAAATGTTTTTTGAAAAAAAAATGCATGGCACGATTTTAAGATTAATTTGTATTAATTAACATTTTCTCATCACTTTTTAAAGTCCAGATAATTAACAAAACAATAAACCAAGCCCTGATTTGTAATATTCACTGATTTCCAAGATGGAAATGCTCACACTGAAAATTTAACAATCTGATCTCATAAGCTAGTAAAAGCTGACTTGAATACATACCTGGCCCTGGTATTCCTCTCAGAGTATGTGGCCTTGGTCACTGTCCCTAGTCAATGCCCATTACATGGGAATTCCCTTCTGAAAATATCTCAAGGCATTTTTCATAGCTCTGGCTGCACTTAGCTAACTTTCCCAGATGCCAGATCCAGAAAAAGTAACATTTATCAGATGACATTTATGTTATAGCACTGAAAGATTTACTAAACACCTTATATCCATTTTCTAATTTAATACTCACAACAAACCTCGGAGGTAAAGAGTAAAAATCATATTATCTCCATTTTGAAAAATGAGGAAACTGATGACCAGAGGTATAAAGTGACTTGTCCATGGTCACATATGATTATTAAATTGTGGTGTCATTGGTTTGAAATCGAGTCTTCTAAGTCATGTTCTGAGTCTGGAAATAGAGGCCAATGAGTGTTTGTATTCTGTAAATATGAAGCATTCACATCACTATTGTGAGTGACTCTTAGGACAGTATTTAGGATCATAGACTGTAGGTTTAGAGCTGGAAAAGACTCTAAAGGCAATCTACTCCAATAACTTTCATTCTTACAAATAAGGAAACTGATGACCAAAGAGATTCAGTGACTTGCCAAAGATCACAAAGGCAATAAGTGACTGAGTCAAGGATTTAAACCAGGTTCCCTTGACAATGCACTGTCAGATTGAATATATTCTCAGACCCTCCATTGGAGTCCGTGAAGTAGATATCAGTCTTATTTTGGGAGGCAGGAGACAACAGCCAGCTACTCTGAAGACAGATGGTAGAAAAGCCTGTCTAGAGAAACACATTATTAAATTTCCCCCACCTGCAAACACTTGGCTTTGTTTTATGGAGACAGGGCAATTTTCTGGGAGCAATAAATTGTTTTTTTCTCCCAAAGAGAAATCCATTTCCTTGGGGCATGGAAACCCAAGGCAGGTTTTTCCACTACATTACCAGATGTGCCTTGAAGATAGTTCTTCTGAATCCTGTGATGGGCTGAGGTCATAAAGGTATCTACTCTGTTGCCTGGATGCAGGTTGGGCCGTGGAAGAGGTAGCATCAGGATGAACTGTGTGGAGTTTAGACTCATTAACATATCCAGAGGAAGGGAGGTCATAGCTGTGTCGTGTTCTGTCCTTCTCTGACCACATATGGGGTATTATATTTTGATGTAGATGCCATAGTTTAGGAAGGATGTAGTTAAGCTGGAGAGTATTCTAAGGCAAGACTCAGTCATATAGTGGAAAGAGTACTGGATTTGGAGTCAGAAAACCTGGGTTCAAATCCTACCTTTTTACAGTCTCTGTGGTCTTGTGCGTGTTGCATAATTTCTTTGTACTTCAATGTTCTTTTCTTAAATGAAGAGGTTGGATTAGGTGTCTCCTAAGGATCCTTCCAGTTTCCAAGCTAGTGTCTTTGGAGAGTAAGCAGGTTGGTAAGAGCCCTTGAGTTCATGATGGACTGATGGAAGGAATTGAGGTATTTAGTTTGGAGAAGAGAAGACTTAGGGAAGACATGATAGTGGTACTCAAGTCTTTGAAGGCAAAGACTTATACTGCTTAGCCTAAAAGGGCCAATAGGAGAAATGAGTAAAAGATGTAGAGAAGTAGATTTTGGCTGGAGGTCAGGAAAAGGCTCCCAATGGCAATTATCACAAGTAGAGAGGCCCATTTCAAGAGATAATGAGTTCCATTCATTGAAGGTCTTAAAACAAAGGATGCTCTATAGGGGCTTCCTAGTCAAAAGCAGGAGAGACCTTACACCATCTGAGTTCCCTTTTGCCTCTGAGATTCTGTGGTTCTATGGTAATACGGAAAAGTTCATCACCTATCTTTCCCCCCAGATGCTACTCAGAGCTCAAGCCCTCCCCTCTTCACATTCAGGCAGTCAGTGGATAAACATTTATTATTAGCTCCTACTATGTGCCAGAAAGTGTGCTAAATTCTGGAGATAACAAGGAGAAGTAAAAGAAAGCCCCTGACCTGAAGGAGCTCACAGTGCAATGGGGGAGACAACATGTTCATTAGTATTGAGTAATGGCAAAGCAAATGTGGGCATAGGAAGTCTCTTTTCAGGCTCCTAGTGGTCTGGAGAGATTTAAGGCCACAAGGGTTTGCTCAGCTTCTCTCTCTTTTAACCTGTTTTGTGTTATAGACCCCTTGGACAGTCTGGTGAAGCCTTCTCAGAATAATATTTTCCAATGCATAAAGATAGATAAATAGATAACATTTATATGGAACTTTTAGGTTTGCAAAGCACTTTGCAAATATGAACTCCTCAATATTACAGACGAGGAAAATGAGGCAGACAGAGATTAAGTGACTTGCCCAGGGTCAAACAGCTTCTAAGTGTTTGAAGCTGAAATTGAACTCAAGTCTTCCTGACTCAGGTCCAACAATCTGTGTGTCACCTGGATACATAAAGGAAGCCAATTAGGTTGAAATAAAGTTATCTATATAACACACATGCATATTACATATGTAGACACACATATGTGTATATGTAACAAGTTCTTGGACCTCCAGGAGAAGAATGCCTGCTTTAAAGGATCAGTTTCTCTGCTTCTTGGGCCTGGACCAAGGCTTGGTGACCTGGTAAACTTCCTTGGGCCATGCATCATGCTGGGAACTGTTCAAAAAGGAATACAGAGCCCTTTTGGATATCTTTCTGCATTATTATCATTATTGATATTGTGTCTCTCAATCTGACTGGAAATACCTGAAAATTCAGCACTGGAAGGTCCTGGCTTTGTCAATAGCAAAATTCTCTGAGATGACTTTGTACTGTCCTTAACTCTTCTCTCTTAACTCCATGTCTCAGCAGTCTCCAGATAATGTTATTTCAGGAAGACAAGGACAAGATTCAACATGAAGGGGAAAACTAGAAATAAAGGAAAAAAAAAACCCAAAGCTATCTCTCTTCACATACACTGTAGCTTTTGCGATGCTCTCAGCAGCTTGGGTGAATCTGACCACAGGCTAAATAATGTGCCTCTGGCACTTGTCTTAGTAACCAGCCTCGCTTACCAGCTGCAGCTGTCAGGCACACCTTAGTCTGAGGTACTCATTGAAAGTATAGTCCCTGTTGGCCACTGAATGTACACTACATAACTTGATGCAGTGTAAAGATGAATTGGATTAGGTCCCAGCACCAACTTTATCACTTACAAGCCCCATAAGCTTGGAAAAAGTCTAGAAGACATAACGAGAACTTAAAAGTTTATTGAATTGAATTATATGGATTTTGGGCAGAAATAGGGATAAGATGTGAACCTTAATTTAATCCATATAGGTAACTCTTGGGTCAGGAAACTCTCTTTAGCAACGAAGGTCTATACCACCAGTGTATCTGGACAGAAGTTCTTAATCTGGGTCTGTGAATATTTTTTTAATATTTTTATGGCAGGGGATAGTGGCTTATGCCTACAATCTCCAATTCCAGGGATGGTGGATCCCTTGAGCTTAAGGCTTCTGAGCTCCAGTGGGCTAAGCAAATTATGTACATGTAATAAATTTGGCATTAATATGGTAAGCCTGCTAGGAACAGGGCAATCAGGTTGCGAGACAGGCAAACTGGTCCAGGCTGGAAATAGAGCAGATACAAGTTCCCATACCAACCACAGTGGGACAAGACCATGAGTAACCCCTGTATTTCCAGCTCTGAGGGGACAGGGAAACCCAACCTTAAAAATGATAACTGTATTTCAATATAAGTGCTTCACTATGCAACTGTATGTATTTTATTATATGCAATTAAAATAGTTATTTTGAGATAGGTCTTTGGGCTTCTACAGACTTCCAAAGGGGTCCATAGCACATAAAAGTTAAGACCTTCTGTCTTAGAGAGTTGCCTAGATCTGCGCTTCTTAAACTTAAAGTGACCCCACATGTGACCCACAGTTTAAGAAGTGCTAAAGGGGTTGTGAGTGGAAAATGTGTAAGAAGCCCTGGCCTAGAGCAGTGAGAGATTTTGTTTTGTTTTGTATTTTATCTAGGAAAGGGTAATAATACCAGCACCACTATGAGGAAAATTCTATACAAAGTGCTAGAGAACTATGAGTTTTCATCATTAGCAATACCTCTGACTAGAAGAGGAGCCAGTGTGTGGGTTCAGACATCAGTGTGGTGCCTCCATCAACCACTCTGTCAACTAGAAGGGAGTAAGGTTGGTACATATGTGAAGGAGGAGAGAAGACTTGAGGTGTGGACCCTAAGAATGCCTTCATCCTGAGGTAGACATCCTCTGAAGGAACTGCCCTTGGAGTTGGGAGATCTCTTTTGGTCCTACGTGGTGTGTATAGGACTTTGCTATGATGAAACTGAGTTATTCACTATTCCCCAAATAGCTATATGAAATTGGCTGAAGGGCATGAGATCTATGTTTAAGTCATTGAAGGACTGTCATATGAAGGAAGGATTAGTCTTGCTCTTCATGTCCCCCTGAGTTCAATGAAACTTAGAGTAATGGGTAGAAGTTGCAGATTTGCCAATTTCAGCTTGACATAACTAAGGTCAGGCTTTCTATTAATTGGAAATATCCGAAAGTGCAATGAGCTACCTTATAAAGAGACAATGGGGTCTCCATCACTAGAGGTCTTCAAGCAAAGCCTTCCTGGGTTGCTGTAAAGGGAATTACTTTCCAGGCATGGTTTGGTTTTTGAATTCACTTCCAATTCTGTGATCCTATGGCTCAATGATTCTGGGAGGTATTAAGAAGCTAGGTCAGTGACCAGAGCATGGCCTGTGTTCCATGATGGGTGTGCAGCATCCCTTGCTGATGCCCATTTTGTCTCCCACCTCGACTTTGGAATCAATTAATTTACTCACACCTAATCCCTCAGCCTCTTATACTGCTTCAGCTTCAACCTAAACATTGGCCCACCATCTCATGGATCATTTACCCATTGGTATTATCTTTTAATAAGCACTTATTGAGCATAGCTGTGTGCAGAGTGCTGCATTAGGGACTGGAGGAGATACGAAGTTTAGATAAGCCGTGCATCATGTCTTTCTGGAATTTTAAGGACCATCATCATCACCATCATCATCATCATCATCATCATCATCAACAACAACAACAACTTTGTAGTATGATGGTGGTGACATGGAAGTAATTATATACTGTATAGTATTACAAGCTAGGGACCCCAAAGAGAAGAGGTATGAAATGGAGTGCTATGTGAGATTTAAGGGGAAAGCTCATTATCAACTATGCAATCATGGAATGCTGAATGGGGGAAGTGAAACTTAGGTGGGACTTTGAAGAATGGAAAAAAATGCCTTATACATAGTAAGTCCTTAAAGCTGTTGAATTGAATTTAATTGAATAGGCAGAGAGTGTGAAAGGGGACATTTCAAAGATAGGGAATAGCATCAGCAAAAGTATGGAGGAAGAAACTCCAAGGACATGTTCAAAGGAGTATTGGTGTGTCTTTAAGAGGAGTTTGAAATATGTGATCTGTCATGTCATGATCCTCAGCATTGATTTTTAAAAATATTTTTTATCTGGTATTGCAATATGGCAGAGTTAGCCTTGAATCCAGAAAGATCTGCATTCAAGTATCACCCTGGACATTGCCTGTTTGATTGACCTTGAGCAAATAATTTAATGTCTCATTGCACTGGACAACTCATAAAGAGTATAAGTTGCATCGAAGGTGCTCCCTTTCATTGGTAGAGGGAATTTGCTCATGTAGGAGCTCCTTGTACTGTCCTTATTTTGTTCTGAAATTATAGCAATTCAATTCAATAAACATTGAAATTCCTGCTATTCTCTAGACACTGTAGTTGACACAAAGATGAATGAGACTGTTTGGGCTATCAAGGAGCCTACAATTTAATAGGAATGACATGGCACATATCCCCAGGCTACAATGCAGTGTAGAGTAAGTGCCAGGAAACATGCAAAGTTCTTTGAGGAAGAACCTATCACTTCTAGTAGGAGAGGACAGTTGGAGGGCAATCAGGAAGACTTCCTGGGAGAG